TCTCTTGGATTCTCAAATCTCAATCACCTCATTAGGACCTTGCTCTTCTTGGCACTCACAAACGTGTTTCTCAGCTGTTGGAATGAGCAAAAGTAACTCCACACACAAGTGGAGCTTCTATTTATAACAATGGCTGAAAAACAAACCGTTATGTGCCTCTGCGGGGTGACCGGACGTTCCGGTCAGTTCAACCCGCACACCAGTGTTTAAGTGTTGACCGGACGCTGGCAGTGTCCGATCACCACTGACCGGACGCGTCCGGTCACAAATATCCTTCACTGGAACCTTACTGGAGTTGACCGGACACTGGTCCTCAGCGTCCGGTCACTCGACCACTCAGCGTCCGGTCGCGCCAGACGCAATCTCCTTGGTCAAATGAACTGATCGGACCCTACGGCTAGCGTCCGGTCGCACCGGAGCCAGCGTCCGGTCAGTATTTGACCCTCCATTCACTTTCAACTCTCGATCATATGTGAATGAAGTTTGCTCCATAGGATCTAAGTGCTTTGTTGGAGCTACCTAGTGCTAGACTTAGCAAGTGTGCACCACACCTAACTCACTCGACTCACCTAGGTCAAGCTACCCGTCCATACCCCCCTTAATAGTACGGCCAAAGGAAAAACAAAGTCCTAAACTACTCTAAGTGTCTCTCCAACTCCAATCGACACTTAGAACTAGTCATCCTTAACCTTGTCGTCCATCCTTTGAAAACTGAAACGATTTCCATCGTAGGGGCATGACATCCATGATTGCCCAATCGATCTCTATTACTATGACCTAACTTAATTGCCTCTGCAAAACACACGTTAGTCATAGTAATCTTGTATTGTCATTAATCACCGAAACCCAACTAGGGGCCTAGATGCTTTCACTCTCCAGAGCACCGCACAATCTTCTTTGCGTGCGTTGACGGAGACCACCACCAAGCTATCTATGAGGTGGCAACCTCCAAGAGTAACAAGCACCACTGGCTTGTAACTCGATCACCTAGTGCCACTTGATGCAATCTCACAATGCAACACACTAGAAATCACTCACTCGCAATGGATTCGCACTTCTCGCAAGCACAAGTGAGTTTGAGTCTTCTCAAACCAAGTACACACAAGGGCAACACATCCCCAAGGTGCTCAACTTTAGCCAAGCCTGAGCTCCACTATTTATAGCCCCAAGCCAAATAGAGCAGTTGGAGTCTTGGAACACATTTCTGCGTGGTCACCGAAGAGCAACATGCAGGCACCAGACATAGGGTGGCGGTGTCCAACGGTTGAATTGCAACGGCTATTTTAAACTAGTTGTTGGGACCCTGGCACCGGACATAGGGGGTGGTGCATCGCCCTAGGGGTGGCGGTGCCCCCCGACAAGATTCCCCCCTCTCTAGAAAAAAGGGGCGGTGCCACGCCGCTAAGGTCACCGGACAGTCCGGTGACTAAAACTTTCTCCAAATTAATTTTCACCACTTCAATCTTGTAGAGCATTTCATTAGCTTTCCGAAAAGTCCTAGATCATTGAAATCGGAGTTCGGAGCTAAGAGTTATACCAAAAATACAAAAGGGTGGTGCTGCTGAAATTAACACGCTGCAGGGGGTGGCGGTGCACCACCCCAGGGGTGGTGGTGCCACTGCCCTAGGCTGTCTGGTGCACACCGGAAAGGGCGGTGCCACCCCCTAGGAAGGGCTGCGTGTTGGATACAAGTTTAGTTGTGTTTTTCGACCCTCGGACAACCCAAACTTGCTCTTTTCATCTCCTTTTCCTCTCAACTTGATCCAAATCACCTCCAGTGACTCCTCCTTTGCAAATGTGCCAATACCACTATGTGTTCACCATCTTGTACATGTGTGTTAGCTTTTCACAAATGTTTTCTAAAGGATTAGCACTCTTTTCACCACGTCACTCGATCCTAACACGTATGCAAAGTAGATCGCTCAAGTGGCACTAGATGACCGATATGCAAATAAGTTTGCTCCTCTTGATAGTATAACCATATATCATAAACCCGGTCATAAACTTCTCTACACACCTATGACAGGTGAAATAAAATGCCCCATAGGTTATACCTTTGTCTTGCGCATTCTATTCTATCTCATCCAATGTTAATACAACACATGCACCAACCTTGATCAACAAATGATATGATCCACTTCATATCATCATGTGATCTTGTTGGTTCATCGATCTTGACCTCACTTGCTTTTCACCGTTGCCTTCGTCCATCGGCGCCAAGTCTTGCTTAAGCTTCACCACCATGCGGTCCATCGCTCCGATGCCTACCTCAAAATGCATGTGTGCAGTTTAAAAAAATGCATTGCAAGTATGAACTCTGCTCCTCTAAACTCTTTATATGGCCACCTGATATGTTGCTACTACTGTCAACTTATATGCACATTTTGTTTATAATTGCTGATCCCTTCCACATGGCTTGCTTCACATACACAGATTTTTTTTCCCATCTTATATGCCCAGCCTTCGAAAAAAATGCTTATCCTCTAACTGATGTACTTTGTTTTTTTTTTGTAGGAAATAGCTACGACCGATTGTCAGCTGTTCCTGTGAATTTTTTACTACTTCTATAGTACTTGCAGCCGAATCTCAAACTATGAACCTAGCTACATTTTCGTTCTGTACATTGTTTCAATGGAAGAATGGAATTTGCAGAAATAGGTTCACTGTGTGCTTTGCATTGTTTCTCCTTCTGTACATAGTGCTTATTCTTCACTGTTTGCTTTGCATTGTTTACGGAATTTACAACAGTTTCCTACGTTACTGCTGCCTTCTCATGCTACATTTTTATGCTTGCTAGCCTGCGCACCTGCGCGGGGGGGCCTGCTAGTACCAAATAGATATCTAAGCTTGGAATAATTGTTTGATATCTAAGTTTGGAACAATTGGGGCACGTAAAATGAACTAGGATACTGATAAAGTGGAACATCGATAACTTTATAACAGCAAACCAAACCGCAATCAAATCTGGTACAAGTTGTGAATACTTGATAGGTCGTGTGCTCTAATGCAGAGGTCGAAAATAATTTCAATGGGGCTGTATCAACTCGATGTAATTTTGAATTAATAAAATGCTTTCTCAATAAAAAAGAAGCTGTGAAAATTCTGAGATTTTTTTAGAAAGACGGCAAGAGCTCTGCTGATATTTTGTTAGACGTGAGAAAAGAAGAAAAAACTGGAATTACAAAGGAAACTTCTATGCGGTCATTCTCCGTCTTCCGCCATTCTCCCTGTCTTCCGCACGTGGGAGAGTAGGAAGGCGAGCGTCGAGGGTTGAATTTTTGTATTTGGATGCGAATACAAATACGAATACTAAAGTTTCCGTACTATTTGGGTATCGTAAATTTCATACGTACTACTATTTACACCTCTAGGTGGAGGCCGATGACCCCATTAGTATGCTTATGAAATGCACAGACCAAGGGAGTGGGCGCGACACGTACTCGTGCTTGCCTACAGCACCTGTGAGTGTAGCTGTGAAAGTGCATGAGGGTCCTAAAGTGGGGTGAAAGTGCATCAGGGTGCTAAAGTGGGCGCGACACGTGCTCGTGCTCTTGCCTACGACGCCCGTGCGTGTAGCTGCTGAAAGTGCATCTAGGGTGATCTAATGATATTTGCGAGTTATGAACAGCTCATAAGTGAACGTGGGAGCATTACTACACAAGGATACCCTCCAATTCAAATCATTGCAGCATACGATTGAAGGCTTACTTTATGTTTCTATTGTGAATTTGAATATAGAAAAAGTTGTACCATCAAGAGGGACACAAATGGCAAGATTAAAGGAATCATGTGCTCTTTACTTATTATCCACAAAACAACAAAGCCCCAAGCCAAACCAAACCAAAAAAAGAGCCCAACTCCTATTCTTTCTGGCCTTCGCGGTCGCGTCGGAGCACGGAAGTTCCGCGATTGAGTACGAAACTTCTGCATTTAACATGTACCGTTTGAAAAGTGGGGAGGGGTATTTATACCCTTTCCCCTTCTTCTCCAACGATCGCATGTAGCATTCACTCACTCACCAAATCCTGGACAAACCTCCCTCGCTCCATTGAAGGCTCCCCAACCTCTTCGTTGAGTTCTTGGTGATATTCCTTGACAGCTTGGGTTAAGGAGTGGATTAGAGAGCTAGTGAGCAAGATATTTAGATCTAGAGCACTTAGTTCTACTTGTGGTTTGAGTTCATTACTCTTGGAGCTTGGGCTCCTAGATGGCTAAACAGTGAACTAACTTTGACCTAAGAGCTAGGCTAATAATATAGCCGGCTGCTGCGCGGCCTATCTCTCAGCCCATTTATATAGTAGTTATCTCTTCATCATCAATACATGGTCCACTTGTCTCTCAGAGTCTAAGCTGGCTATAAGTTTACAGCACGCTTCTCCTCTCTCTCCTCTTAACTCTCCTCCAGTTAGCATTCAGCCTGTTTAAAGCCTAAGTAGCCTAGCGTCGTGGCCTTAGGGAGTTTATAATACTCTAATCTAATAATTTACTCCTGCCATTCCAAATCATAAGATGTTTTGGCTTTTCTAAACAATGTATTTAGAAAAGCCAAAATGTCTTATAATTTGACATTGAGAGTAATATGGAAAATTTGTTCATGTACTAGTGTACTACAACAGAATTTATACCCAGTAGTGGTGGCACATATATATTCGTGACCTACGGAAGTATAGTTACTCTTTTCTTTTAACCTAATTTTACAATACTTCCACGCAGTCCCCTGCTTCCACGTTATGTATGAAGCAAACATCGCGTACATGACACAGCAACGAAGTGGCAACTTTGTGGCAAATCTTCTTTGAGCACAAACCACGAGGCATGGATGAGCAGCAGTGCAAGAACGAGAAGCTTAATGCCCAGCACAACATGTCAATCACCCCCAGTCATCTGCAACGGCGGCAGCGAGTTCGGCCCTCACCGTAGTGGCGGCAGGGAGAATGCGCTCACTGTGGAGCTCCCGCTCCTTATCTCCCTGAGCGCCCTGAGTGCGGCCACCGTGCTCTTCATGTACATGCTCTCCATGTCCTCGATTTCCTCCACATGTCCCCAGTGCCATTGCCGTTGGCCAGCGAGGCGCTGGGCTTCGCCGGCTTGTCGTCGCTGTCACTGTCTTCTTTACCGTCGTCTTCGCTTGGCACAGACCGCTGGTTTCGGGGCAGGAGCTGGTCCAGCATCTCCTCACACTCCTTGACGAGCTTGTACAGGACGTCGGTAGCGTAGAATGGCTCCTGCATTACGTTCTGGATGAAGGGCAGGCGGATCAGTGCGCCGGTCCTCGTACTTCTTGAGGATCTTGACCAGTCCTGGTTAAACAGAGCATAACTCTGTCAGTCACAAGCGCAATTGGCAGTAGCACGAACCGGCCGAGCAGCTAAAACTAATAAGGAGCCTACCTTTTCTTTGTTCAAGTTCACTACTACTTATATTACCAACAGAATCATCCATTGTTGCACCTTAAGGAGAGCCAAGACGATATGTGTAAAGAACATGGCTGTAAACCCACCTAACTTCTACGAATTAGAAAGCTTACTATAACTTCTTCAATTAGTTAAAATGAATTTTGATATAGATTACATGTATATAACCAAAAAATGTGTTCTTGACCATAATCCAGAATACTAAAGCAATTCTTTATCAAAAAAGGGAACAATTTTGCAGACATAACCTTTTTCCAGATAGAGGTATCTTCCACTTCAGTTATTGTACACAAAAGTGTACAAGTACATAGAACCAGAAAATAATACATCTTTGTAAAGCATGAAACATTCATTTAAGTGTACTGAAAGCACCAAGATGTGCATATTTGGAGCTCCAATGTTAAGACCTAATTTTAATAGAACGTTCAAGTACAGTATGGTCAAAGGCTCAAAGCTACAACTTTAGTTCAGTACTTCAGTTTCAATTTCAATGCAAAAAGCCGATTATGCATGACACCGAAGAGAAAAACTTCAACATAGGAGTAACTAAGCGTTTTTTTTTCATTGAGAAGAAAACATTATGCATAACACAAGAAAAAATGGTTATTTTAAAAAATGGAGATAAATGGTTATTCCATGTCTAGCTAAAAGAGTCAAATAGTGTCGTCAGTCCATTAGTCCTTAAATTTGCTAGTTTTAAATATTTTTAAGTTGATTTGAGTCATTGACATGATTCCACAAAGTTTAGTGTGGGAAACCACACTCATTGCACGTGACCCGCAGTGGTGAATAAAGACTCTTTTCATTATCGTCCCACGGTCTAATGGAACCACTACACTTTTATTTGGCACATGACCCACGGTGGTGAATAAGACTGTTCATGTTTCACTAGTACTCTAGCCTTGCAAGTGAAACGGGTAGTTCAAGAATTTTGGAAAAATAGTGATGCTTATGTACATTGATGAGTATGACCAATCTGTTTGAATTCAATGCAAAAACTAGACAGCCAGGACCTTTTGGCACGAGGAGAGAATGGTGACATTTACAAAATGAACAATGCAGTTCAAATTTGTAGTCATGTAGAACATTTTGTCCGTCAATTTTTTAAAGTGACATAAAATCTATAGTTCATGTCTCCTACGAGGCACATGTCAAACTTATTACGTAAGTTACATCAAATCAACTAATAATATTTAACATATATACTATAAAATAGATCGATCGGATTATTTTAAAATCATATATAAAATGACATGTGATACGATACCATAGAATATTCCTAGTCTGGTCTCCACGTGGTAAAGGGACGTGGATACATACACTGTTGTAGATCTCAATTATTATAACCTAACATGACAAGCGGTAAAGAGAAACAGGGCGTGGAGTACTACAGGAATCAATTTGCTCAGCGTGGCCAAAATGGGCTCCGTGACGGGCACCTCTTTTGCCCGCCACGGTTAACCGGTGGCCGGCCAGCGAGGCGCCCGCTGCGGGAAAAGGGTTTACCGCGGCGGGCCACCTTACTTGCCCGCCGCAGGAAATCGTTATTTACCGCGGCGGGCGGTATGAATCGCCCGCCGCAGTTAATACGATTTACCGTGGCGGGCTCTTTAAACTGCCCGCCACGGTAAAGAGTTGATTTACCGAGGCGGGCGCTTTATCTTGCCCACCGCGGTAAAGCCTGTACAAATACACAGCACCACCCCTTCATCTTCTCCACGGGTCTTCCTCTCTCAAACTCATGGGGGGAGGCTTTGCCCTAAAATTTGAGGAAACTTTTGATTTGAGTTGAAGGGCTTGGATTTGAGGGAGGAGGACATCATAAGAGGTTTATAAAAGCTCTTCCTCTCTCCTTCCATCCTCTCTCTCTATTTCCATCACCTAGAGTTCTCTCTAGATCTAGATCAATTTTAATGGAAAAAATGATGTCATGTATTTCTTTAACTTTAGATTTATCATAGATGCATGCTTCATCTTTCACATTGTCATTTCCTCTCTTTTTCATGATTTTGGACGTAAAAATCATCAATTTCTCCTAATTCTTCTTTATTTAATGTTGATTGTGACGGATAATGTTCGCAAGTATGATGAATAGGTCGGAATGGATGTACCGGATCGATAGAGTGAATGATCCGCGGTACCTCTTTGAATTAAGGAAGTTTATTGCTGCTGGTAAAGCTCACCGTGAGAGACTGAAGCGGATGACAACCATATGTCCATGTTCTCGTTGTAAGAACCTGAAAGCCCACCGAGACAGCGAGGTGCAAACTCATTTGATCATGTATGGTTTTGTCGAGGGCTACACAGTCTGGACATTTCACGGCGAAAGAGTTGGTGCGAGTGGCGGTGCATCTGGAGTGAGCTCTTCGACGCCGATGACGACAGCACCACCGGTGAATAAAGATCCTTTAGGAGCACCCGGCTCCTCATCATCTTCAGCAGCAGCTGCGCCAGCCGACAGTGACAACAGTTGTCGTGATTACATCACGGTGGATGATGTAATGCAAGACATGGCCGACGAAGCCGGCGACGGTGGGGATGGTCAGGATACTATGAGCCAACCCGAGGATGTGCAGCTTGTTGAAGATCTAGTCAAACACTTCGATAAAGACGACGTTATGTTGGGTTGCCCAAAGTGGTTGGAGAATTTCAGAGAGTTGAAGCAGGCGGCAGTTGATCCTCTCTATAAGGACGGCGGCGATTGTCCGAAGGAGTGCACGGCGCTCCGTTTTAACCTCCATATGTTGATGTTGAAGGCTCGTCATGGTTGGTCTGACACTAGCTTCAATGAGTTGTTAAGCTACCTTGCCACCACGTACCCAACGGCTAATAAGGTGCCTGCCAATACTTATCGGGCCAAAAAGCTGATCCGGCCAGTGGCGATGAAGCTTAGAAAGTTTGATGCATGCCCTAACCACTGCATCCTGTATCAGGGCAATGAGTATGAGAATTTGACGAGTTGTCCACACTGCGGCTTTAGTCGGTACAAGAAAAATGTTGGTTGTCGCGTGGATGCAGAAGACGAGGGAGGCTTGCGGGGTGGTCGGAAGAAGAACAAGAAGGGGCAAAGAAGAGCAGTGCGGCCAAACAGATCTCGACTCAGTAGGACGATGAAGAAGAGGGTTACACGCATAGGAAAAGTCCAGCACTGTCGGTGTGGTACCTGCCCATGACCGATCGCCTGCGTGCAATATTTGGGAACCCGGATGATGCCAAGCTCATGTCCTGGCATGCATCAGCTGACCGCCTGAAAGACGATGGCAAGCTACGGCACCCATTCGATGGCAAGCAGTGGAAGGATTTCGACGAGGCCTACCTGGAGTTTGGTAAGGAGCCCGGCATGTTAGGTTCGCGCTGAGTACCAATGGAATGAACCCGTTCGGTGAGCTTAGCAGCTCACACAGCACTTGGCCCGTCGTGCTCACCATGTACAACCTACCTCCCCATCTATGTCAGAAGCGTAGGTACCTTATGCTGACCATGCTTATCTCTGGACCGAAGCAGCCCGGCAACGATATAGATGTGTTCCTAGAGCCGTTCATGGAGGAAATGAAGATACTATTTGATGTTGGGGTCCAGATGGTGGATGCATCTCGCAAGGAGAAGTTCACACTAAAAGCAATCATCTTTGTCACCATCACCGATTACCCCGGTCTCTTCTCACTGTCGGGGCAGATCAAAGGGAAGACCGGCTGCGTAATTTGTATCGACGGGACCTGCTACACTTACCTTAAGGGATCCAATAAGATGATGTACACGAGGCACAGACGGTTCCTCGCCAAAAATCACAGGTATAGAAGAAGTATTATGAACAAATACTTTGACAATCAGGATGAGCCGTAGCGTGATCAACCGACGCAGACTAGTTGGGGGACAAAGGTGTATGAGATGGTCAAGGACATGGATCAGGTGGAGTTTGGAAAGAAGAAGAAGCCGCCTGAAGAGGGGCCCAAGCAGACAAGGAAGCGAAAGCGGGACCAGACGGAGGAAGTCCCTGCCGCCATTCCTTTCAAGAAGAAGTCAATTTTCTTCAAGTACCTGTCGTATTGGAAAACACTGAATACACCCCATGCCATCGACTGCATGCACCTAGAGAAAAATGTCTTCGAAAGCATGATTGGTGTCCTGCTGGACATCAAGGGCAAGACAAAGGATGGTATCAAGTCACGGACGGATCTTGTCAGTCTAGGCATCAGGCCAGACCTTCACCCGGGACCGCCTCAGAATGGTAAAGTCGATATCCCGGGTGTGGCCTGCAACCTAACGCAAGATGAGTGGACAACTTTTCTTAAGTTGCTTAGGGGTATCAAGGTGCCGACTGGTTTCTCTTCCAACATCAAGAGCCTGGTCTCCATGAAAGACCTCATAATGACCGGCTACAACTCACACGACTGCCACGTCATGCTGACGGTGTTCCTACCAATTGCGATTAGGGCTATCCATCCAGAGTACGTGAAGATGGTCATCACACGGATGTCATACTTCTTTAACCGCATCACCCAGAAGGTCATTGATAAGGCTGAGCTGCCTGCCCTGAAGGAGTTCATCGCGGAGACCCTTTGCCAGCTCGAGATGTGCTTTCCACCATCTTACTTTGATATTATGCCACACCTAATAATGCATATGGTCGATCAGATCCATCAATTGGGCCCCGTGTACCTACACCAGATGTGGACGTACGAGCGGTTCATGTCCACCCTCAACAGATATGTCCATAACCGCGCTTACCCGGAGGACTCTATGATCGAGGCATACACAACGGAGGAGGCCGTGAACTGGTGTATGAGGTACATAAGAGATGGGAGGGTGATTGGGCTGCCTGTCCATCACCACGAAGGCAAAACCTCAGGGATGGGGTGCACAGGCCGAAAAGTACGCACCGATGT